ATGTTCAGCTTGAATCCAACATTGAGCTGCTTAGTTACAATAGTGTAATAATTTACCGTACTTTTTCCAAAAGTAATTTTATGAAACCCCAATCAAAAGCATGATGGTAATTTCCAGCCTCAGAGCATGAAGCAAGCTCTCAAAGATGCAAGAGGTTCATTAAGCACACACAGAAATAGTGACTTTGTGCGCTGCAGGCTCTCTTTATAAACAATTTCTACATAAATATGGCTAAAGGTGATGAGGAAAAAAATGCTTGGCACTTCACAAAAAGCCAGTTTCAGAGTTGGGAGTCAGAGGAGAGAGCAACCTGTAAAGATGTAATGCTGTAACATTCGCTTTTCATTAAGCCAAGCCAAACAAGACAAAAAGGGCAAACTTGCACATTGTCTCCTTAGAGTCCGTAACTCTGTGCCTGAGATCTCCAAAGGGAGGGTTCACGTTAACCTCAGTTGTGTCATATTTAACTTGGCTCTCTTTGTAAATACCACGCCTTTTATATTTCTGACTCTCCCCATTTTAATGCTGCTGGTTTGCTACGTGGAGATTTCTTGTCCTACTTGTGATTTCTCTGAAATATACATAGCTTGTCCTCCTGTCTGCTGCTGAACTTCTAATCTGCAAACTCTCAGTAGGTGCTGATTGTGTCCCATTATTTAGATGTTGCACGCAGGGGTACTGCATGATTTCCAGAGGGTGAAAGAAAATGAGAGGCTTGAATCAATGCTCTGAGATCTCAGCCTGTGAGGGAAAGCTCTAGGACACTGCTTATAATTCCCAGAGGGAATTTATATTCAAAAAAAAGCAGTGAGAAGCCCTATGCTGTAGCCTGCTTGAGGACTCCACTGCTGGATTCATATGTATATTCATTTTGATTTCTTAACCCCATGTGAAAAAAAAGACCATTGAAAAAAATGGTTCCTCAAAAACATGACCTTCAGTTTATTTTCCCAGCTGCAAAATGCCTCAGTTGTCCATCTCATTGCCTTTTACACCCCCACCCTGCCTTGCCCCATGGCCATGACGAGGCCCTAGAAACAACTAGGCTCTACTCAGCCCTAGTGAGGCCGTATCTGGAGTGCTGTACCCAGTTCTGGGCTCCTCAATACGAGAGAGACACGGAGCTCCTGGAGTGGGTCCAGCGGAGGGCAATGAAGATGATTAGGGGACTGGAGTATCGCCCTTATGAGGACAAGCTGAGGGAGCTGGGCCTGTTCAGCCTCGAGAACAGGCGACTGAGAGGGGGCCTCATCAATGTATATAAGCATCTGAAGGGAGGGTGTCAAGAGGATTGATCCAGGCTCTTCTTGGTGGTGTCCAGCCGTAGGACAAAGAGGCACTGGGCAGAAACTGATGCACAGGAAGTTCCACCTGAATATGAGGAAGAACTTCTTTACTGTGTGAGTGGCCAAACACTAGAACAGATTGTCCAGAGAGGGTGTGGAGTCTCTCTCACTGGGAATATTCAAGAACTGCCTGGATGCAACCCTGTGCCATGTGCTCTAGGATGACCCTGCTGGAGCAGGGAGGTTGGACCAGATGACCCACTGAGGTCTCTTCCAACCTTACCCATACTGTGATTTTGTGATAAGGAATTTTGTAGAAGCTCACTTCAGAAAAACTTGCACAGAAAGGCAATAGTAAGGGTCCCTTTAAAAGGCCTCCTGCTACCTCTGTCCTCCTTGATTCTGGAATTGTTTGCTTAAGCTTCTGAATGATCACATTATAGCTGATCACATAAGAAATGCAAACTTTCACCAAACAGCATTTGAACTTTACAGTCAAAACCCAACACTTTCAACCCAGGTACTATACCAGCTTCAGAAGTGATAGAAGTTAAAGAAGTGGAAATGAACATCTGTTAGAGACAGACTCTCTGCTGGTAATACTTGAATCAATCTGCAAGAGCTTGGCACTGCACCCTCCACTGTTCATTAGGACCATGGGGGGACCAGATACCTTTCTGCTGCCTCCTAGTAGTGATAGATGGACATGGACCTCTCTGACAGGTTGTTGCCTCTGCATTCTGCAGCCATTCTGGAAGTGAGTTAAGAGTGGCGGAAACCTTCAAGCTGAAGTGATGCTTTGAATTTGTCCCAGAGAAACCTCTACCATCACAAATCATCATTCTGCCCAAGGTTAATTGTTTTATTTGACTTTGGAGAAATCTGCCACACGTGTACATAGCACACCACTTTCTTCCCGAAGGGCAGATGTCTTGAAGAGGCTGCCAGGCCTCTGTAGCTGCTGGGACACAGGGCATGAAACGTTTAAAAACTTCAGCTCCTTGCTGATCAAATGAGAAATATTGCTTTATGCTGCTGCTTTTCTAGGGTTTTTGCTCTCAGGTTCCACTGCTGTCTGTCAGTGACTACAACAGTAGTAGAACTTGCTTTTCATTCGTGCCATCTAAAATTGTGAGGGCTGTGTCAATGCAGGGGTGTTTGTGCCAGTGATGTTCAGCAGCTTAGTTTACAGCTAGTCTTGCAAAATCATTCTTTGAGACTCTTGTCATGTTTTATTACATAAAATCCTTTGAATAAGAGTGGGGAAAAAAAATAATCATCTCATGCAGAAGTCCAGACAGTGAGATCTTTCAGCTGGGGCCATTGTCAAGAGTTTGTCAGTGTTCCTGCTCCATGGGCTTATCAGTGACTCTTGTGGAAGGGTAGCTGCTCACCCGGTCCCAGACCATACATGGGCTTTTAAATATCATCGTGTAACAAGTGACAAAGATGTCCTTTTCAGTGCAACCTCATGTAAAAGCTGTAACTTGTTATACCTCTTCCCTTTTTGAAGCTGCCTTACTGCTCCCACAGGCATACTGTTGGTGTTATGCAGCCATCTAGAGGACCTGCTGCCTGTGCCAGCTTAACACTGTTGAACAGAAACCACAAAACTGTAGGAAAACCCAAACTCTGCTGACCCTTAGTGGCCATAACTCGGCTGCAGTGCTGTGGGAATGTTTTTACAAATTCAGGACTGCTGTTCTGGTGCTGTTATGCAGTGTGTTGTCATATTTTTTGAGGGGGAAAGGTACTGACTAACCTGTCAGGGAAAAAAATCAGAGAAGAACTGTCAGTGGAGAAGAGGATCTGGGCATCAGAGACGAGAATGTACCTAACCTCGAGATTTTATGGCAGTTCCACAGAGCAAATGAAATTTGTACATCTAGGGGCTATCAACAATTGACAGTGTAAACTGAAGGTGAGTCATTCCCTGGCAATGAGAGACAGAAAGAAAAACTGGAAGCAAAAGGCAAAAATTACTGAAGACCACTTGTTGCTCTGATGGATAGATGTGATTGCTGGAGACACTAGGAGATGTATGTCTGGTTCAGACAGAGAAGACAGCTCCTTGTACTGATAAGACTGATAGCATTCCCATGCAGCATTACAGGCTTGGGCCAGAGAATCTGGAAAGTGGTCCAGTAGAAAAAGACCTGGGGATGCTGGTCGTCAGCCGGCTGAACATGACCCAGCAGTGTGCCCAGGTGCCTAAGAAGGCCAATGGCATTCTGGCCTCTATCAGCAATAGTGTGGCCAGCAGGACTTGATAAGTGATTGCCTGTACTCCGCACTGGCAAGGCTGCACCTTGAGTACTGTGTCCAGTTCCGGGCCCCTCACTTCAAGAAAAACATTGAGGTGCTGAAGCTGGTAAGGGTCTGGAGAGTAAATCATATGAGGAACGGCTGAGGCAGCTGAGGCTGTTAAGTCTGGAGAAAAGGAGGCTCAGGGGAGACCTTATCACTCTCTATAACTACCTGTAAGGAGGTTGTAGCAAGGTGGGAGTTGGCCTCTTCTTTCAGGCAACTAGAAACAGGACAAAAGGAAATGGCCTTAAGCTGTGCCAGGGGAGGTTCGGGTTGGACATCAGGAAGAATTTTTTTAATGAAAAAGGTGGTTAAACATTGGAACAGACTCCCAAGGGAGATGGTGGAGTCACCATCCCTGAAAGTGTTCAAGAAATTACTGGATGTGGCACTTAGTGCTATGGTTTAGTTGACATGATGGTGTTCAGTCAAAGGTTGGACTTGACCATCTTGGATGTCTTTTCCAACCTTCATGGTTCTATGATTCTTTGTTTCTATGCCTTCTCCTGGAATATGAGACAGAAGCCTGGCTTTCAAAAATCTGGAAACAAAAATTTGAGGATGCAAAGAACACCTCAACCTGATCAGGGGAACAGAAATACTATTTCATGAGAGGTACTGAAAGATCTAGCAAGGTAACATCTGAAAGGTTTCCCCCATTAAAAAATTACATCACTGATGTCAAAAACAGAGAAGGTTAAGAGTCACATGGTGCCAGGTCAAATGAGCATAGATTGCCCAAACTTTTCGGCTTGGAAAATTAATGTGTTTTTAACGCTAGGAGCAGTGAAGTTTATTAGCTGTGTCTGCAGTGCCAGGACCCTTGCTAAAATGCAGGTTGACCCAGGAGGGAGTTGTCAGCACCAGCACTTCCAGCCCCATGTTCCTGTTTTGGTGGTACTGTTCAGGCCTGCTAATTTCTCAAATTCTGTCATGATAACTGTAAAAACATTGTCCCTGCATTAGTGTGCTTTGCATCTGGCACGGATGGGGGGAAGGCTGTGAGAGGCTGTAGGTTTGTGCACCCTGCAGTGTGTACACCCTGTAGGTGCCTGTTTGCACCTTGTAGGTGTATGTACACCCTTTGGGTGTGTGCACCACGTAGCTGTGTGTAACCGCTGTAGTGTGCATACCCTGTAGCTGTGTGTACACCCTGTAGCTGTGTGTACACCCTGTAGCTGTGCTCACGCTGTAGTTATGCACACCCCGCAGCCATGCTCACCCCGTACCTGTGCACACACCGTGCCGCCGGCAGGGCTGCGGTGCCGCCCGGCGGCCGGGACCGACTGCGCAGGGCCGGGAAGCTCCGCCCCACTCCCGCCCTCCCTCGGCTGGGCGGGCGCAGCCCATAAAGGGGCCGGGCGGCAGTGGGGCGCGGGTCGTCCGTGTTGCGGAGCGGTCGGAGCGGCCGAGCGTGGGGTCGCTGCTGGCCGCGGGGCCAGAGCCTCGGCCCGAGGCCGCGGCTGCCGCTCCTTCCCCTCCCGGCGGCGCAGCCCTCCTCAGGTAGGGGGGGAGTGGGGTCCCCCCTCCACTCCCCTCGGTGCCGGGTTGGCGAGAGCAGCCGGGGTCCGGCCCCGGTCCTGTTTGTGCCCCCAAGGTCTGACCCGGTACGGGCCGTGCTGAGCCCTCGGACCCGGGGCCTCCGCGCCCGGACAAGGCTCGCCTGCCCTGCCGGCGGAGCGCCGGGGCCCGGGGCCGCAGTGCCCGGTGCGGGCTGTCCCGCTGCTCGGTGCCCACCCGTCCTCCGCGGAGAAACCTCGCCGGTTCTCTCTTTGCCCGCAGGGAGGCGGCCGACGGGATCAGCTCCCGGGCCGATGCTGCTGCCGGCCTGGGAGTTATGGTTCTACGGGCTCCTCACCGTGGGCTCCCACCTCTACGCGTTCTACGAAGCGCACCAAGTGTCCCGAAGTAAGTGGGGAACGGGGTCGCGCTTGCTCCGGCGGTGCTTCCCGCCCGCGGCTGGCGAGGCTGCTTAGAGTGAGTTCTGCTCTCTAGTTGGTTTCTACTTAGTTCCCTTGCGAAGAGCGCCTATGCTCTTCCCAGCTTGCCAGCCAGCCCTGTGCGAGGAAGCAGTAGGCGGGTGCCACCTGGGCAGAGAGCTTTGTCCCAGGGCTTTCTTGCCTTTGAGTGCTAGTAACGCCCATGGCAATCATGTCCTGGCAGCTTTTTGTCAAGGAGAAGACAGGGAGATCTCTGAAGCTCAGCTACTCAGATAAAGAAAGTTCAGGCAAGTTGGGTTTGAATTGTCTTGTTTTTCCTGGCTAGTCACCTGCATCCTCTTGCAGATGGGTGGTTAAGAAGCATCCATGCTTTGTGATTGTGGTTTCTGGGGTCTGAACCTGGGGAGGCCGCAGGACAGGTGGGTGCTTCCTGCCTGGAACTCTGGGCTCCTTTGCTGGGTTCTGGGCTTGGAGCAATGGTTGGGTTGTCTGTGCAGCCTTGGAGTCAATTTGTTTCCAGACACCTGCTTGTGCCTTGTGTAACCTCTCTGTGGTAGCTTTTGTGGTAACTTGGTTTGGATTCAGTGGAGCTGTGTAGTGCAGAGCCTGTGTGTGAGTGGACTGTATGACTGGATCTGTAGGTGGGGTTTTAAATGATTTAAGTACAATTTGTAGATGAAAAGAAGCACTGTTTCTAACATGTTGATATTCTAATGGAAATAAAGGTGGTATTATAAAAGTATAACAAGCTAAGAGGCTCATTAGGGAAATATGTATTGCATCTTGTTAGGCTTTAATCAGCAAGGTGTTCTACACTAATGACCCAGCTGTCTCTTAAAAGAGCTCAAGGGAAGGAGTGCCAGAAAGGCACTTGCAGAGCAGTGGAGAAAATGTTAGGTAACTGGCTCCAAGGCTGTCCACCCATGCATACAGCAAGTCTTCTGTAGAGGTGGCAGAATGTGATGGCAGCAGGTTCTGTAGGTGGCATCTCTGAGTGCCTTTTCCCTGCTCTGGCTGTACTGGCTGCTCTCAGGTCTGTGTGTCCCTTCTGCTCTGGTGGGAGAAACCAGGCAGTTCTGAAAAAGGGGAACTGAGGGTGCTGGTTTTATGTGGTAAAAGATGGGTCACTGTGTGCTACTGTCCCTGTTGCAAGGGGGAATCAAAACATGCATTCTGGGAATTTGCTTTGCCATTGCTGTGGGGCAGAGCTGTGGCCTGGTTGGGCAGCTCAGCTGGTGATATGCCCCTCCCTGGATCTGGGTATCCCCATTAGTGGAGACAACATGGGAATTTGTTGCTCTTGAGCAGCAGAGGACCCATCCCTGACTCTCCCTACTCTGGCTGCTGTGTCCTTAGCAAAGGTTTGCTCTTCCCTGCAGAGTATGAAGCTGTGATGGACAGAATGTTTGGGCTGGACCCAGGAACTCTCTTTCGAGGCCTCAAAAAGGTAGGAGGGGTGATAGATACCAGCATCTCTAATTTTGAGGCAATAATACAAACACTGTGTTTCCATACCCATTCCACATCCAAGCTTCTGATTTAGCTTCAGAAGTCTGTGGTAACTTGCAGATTTGGGTATTCATAGTTAATTTTAGACTGTTTCTGGTGAGGAAAAGGGGTTGGCTGGTTGTGTCTAGATCTAAGAATCATAACCAAAGTTTTTTTTCTTTTCTTGATCCCTGGCTTAAGTGTCTATCCTTTACTACATCTCTTAATAACCCTCTGTTTTACTGTTTGACCTTAAAAGCTTTGATCACCCTTGACACTTCCTGCAGCCTTTCCCCCCTTTTTTCTGTCACTGGGTGATTTGGATAATGCATAACATCAGTGAGCATGTGTTTCTCTTGGCTGGCCTGTAGTCCAGCATAGAGTAAACAGATTTTTGAGTGATAAAGTCTTAAAGAAATGTGGTTAGTATTAAAAAAAACCCAAACTAATAAGAGAACAAAAAAAAAACCAAACACCCCCCCACTCCCTTGCTTGCATTTCTTCAAAAAGATATGAGGTCAAAAGCAACTAATGCAACTAATATTGAGGATTACTTGTGCAAGACCAGGAATGCATGTCTGTGGAAGTGTTTTGGATTTTAGGCTTGCCATCACTGCTGGTAAGGGAAGCCATACTTCAAGAAAGCCATAAAGCAGTTGTTGAACTTCTAGTGAGGCTCTGTGTTTGACAGAGGGCTACCCTCTTACCTAATTTAGGTAAAAACCTCATGTCATGGAAACTCCAGCTGACTCTATCTGATTGCAACTAGGCTTTGTTGAAACAGGTAGTTAAACTTTTCTTCCAGCAAAATGCCTTTTCACTGGAGTTCTTGATTTTTCAAGGCAGAGCAGAGTTGCTGTCTTAATCCCTCAGGAGAGATGCTGCGTGCTTAGTTTCAGCACCAATGTGGTGTTTAGGAGTCACAACATTGTCTAAAGCTCTTTTTTCTTGAACTTTGCACCTTTGGAAGTCAAAATGGTGCTGTCTGAGTTCACTGCTGTACTCAGTTCAACTGGATTGCTGACATGATGTTCCTCAGATGTAGAGTTCTGTTGGGTAACACACACCTAGTGTGTTAGAGAGATGTTCCCTTGTTCTGTAAGAACATGCATTTATGGCTAGATACACGTTGTGACCAGTTCTCTTCATGGCACAGGACTCCATGGACTTTGAGTGGAGCTACTGGATCGAATGGGGAAGGGAACGTATACTGTGGCTTCTGGCTGGTCACCTGCTGGTATCACAAGTGTCCAGGCTCCTGGTGGAGAAGGTATGTATGGATTTTCTTCACTGCAGGGAGTTTCTGTGACTTTCAGTTTACTCTGGACATGGGAAGCTCAGCACTGAGGCCACTGAATGTATTAAATCCCACTCTGTGGGGTGAATTGTGTGAGTGGGTCTGTAACAATGCACAGGTGAGACTGTGTGGATCAGTTAGCCTAATGTTTTGGAGACATCAGCTGCCAACTCGTGAAAGCCTCTGCCTTGTTGTGAACCGTTAAACAGAGTCATTTGCCTTGCACATGCAAGAAGGGTGCAGTTGTTCCTTTCCAAGACTGTAAAGTGATGGCTGCTTGGGTTTTGGCATGATTGCTTGATGATTGCATGATTGTGGGAAATGATCTGTGTGGTGTCACACCTGCTAGTTTGGGGAAGGAAAGGAAGAAGTTATGTTCTCCTGCAAATTAGGGAGACTCTGGATTTCACATGAACACCTTTCCCTTCACCTTTATGGATACTGTTGGGTTTTGTGTATTTTCAGATGTGTTCTTAACCTTGTTGACTGTATTTATCTCTACTGCAGACCCCGTGCAGGACTGCACAAGTATTGAGTGCTTTTTTTCTTTCGAAATAACTAATGGTTGTTAATATTTTTTTTCTGACAGTATAAACCATGGTGCTTGATGGTTTATGGAATGGCTGCCTGCTGGTTGTTACTGGGAATCAAGGGTTTTGCTGTCATTTTGTTACATGCAGCTGTTTCATTTGCTGTGGCTCAGTTTCAGCTGTCACTCCTGACGTGGTTGTGCTCCCTTATCCTGCTGTCCACTTTACGCATACCAACTGTGGAAGAAACCAAGGTAATGTGGGAAGGACTAATTAAGCATCAAATTAATTATGGTTGTGGTTGTCTGTAACAGCATCTACCTTTATGACAGCATATTATCCCTTCAGTTGATGTAAGCAGGGTTTGGTTTGAAAAATCTTAGGCAGTAGAGCTGCAATGACTCCTGCTGGAGCTTCTCCAGTTAGAAAAGTCATACCTCTTGATCGTGGTGGCCAGTGCATTGAGATAAAAATGTGTCTTAATGTGTAAATGATATTCAGTGGAGCTGGAATATGATAATACTTTACTAGTGCTCTATTAAACGCATTTCATATTCTTTGGAACTCTAATCATACCAATTTGAGGTGCTACTTTATAGGGTTGTATCTAGGAGTTGCTCAGTCAAGCCTGCCTGTACCTTATTGGTGACTGTGGACTTCTGCAGGGAGGGAGACTGTTCCTCCAACACTTTGATTTGTACCGGATGAGTTACTTCCTCGCAACTGGTTGATGCAAGCTCAGTTTTGCTCTTTCTCTGGTGGATTTTTTCTGAGTAGTATGGATTTTGGAAAAACTGTTGCTCAGTTGTGAGGAAACGTCCTTGTTGCATTTACTTGGACCAAGAGGAAAAACTGGACATCTGTTCTAAGGCTTGTTGCCCAGATGTTCGGGGAAGGGGAGATGAGCATGTAGGGTCTCTTCACGTGCTGTAGTCGGGATTGTGCCATGCCCTGAGGAGGAAAGGGCCCCCTGCAATACAATGTAATCAGCCAAACTACATTTGCTGATGTCTTCAACTTTTTTGTGATGATACATTTTTGTTTTTGGAAACAAGTGTGACACCAAGTGTCAAACACTCAAGAGCTCAGTAACATCTTTTCAGCTGTAAGCTTTCTTTAGAGTGACTGATTCTTTTCAGATTTAGCATCAGCCGTAACAGTCCCTTGGCTGTCTCAGTAGTGTTGCCAGCTGGTTTGAATATTGTATTACTGGACCAAATCTGAGGGAGATAATGACATTTCTGTAAGAAAAGCTCTGCTGCTGTCATAGTTCTTCACAGCCTAATCTGTTTCTGAAATCAAGTTGTCTCTTTATGCTGGCTGCAGTAGCTGAGGAGGACACTTCTCCATCAACAGCCAGTGCTTGTTCATGTGTTTAGTGCTGTTCACTTCAGATGCTCATTCCAGCTGCCATTAGCTTTAGTTGCTTCCTGCTGATGCTGACCCCAGAAGTTAGGATCTGAGAGGACATCGCTGTTTTGCCATACAGAAAATGCAGCATTGCACCATCATGATCTGGCTTTTTGTCTTGCAGAGGAAGTGGTACGACACTGAAAATGAGTATTATCTGCTGCTCTTCACTGTGTCAGTCCGCTGCCTCTTCTGCACTAGCTTCAGCCTGGAGTACTGCTGGCATGGATCTACCCAGAAGTCACCCCACTCATTCCCATGGATGCTGGCATATGTGTTTTATTATCCCACATTCCACAATGGACCCCTTATGAATTTTGATGAATTCAGTAAGCAGGTAAGAGTGGTTGTTGTTTGGGTGTCTAAAGCTAACTTCCACAAAATTTTGAAATCATCAAGTAATATTATAGGAATGTGACAGTTTTGAGTGCATCATTGGGAATCTGGCAATGTCCTGGATATCAAATTTTAAGACAAACCTCCCTCCTCGAGTTCTTCCACTTCACAGGATGTTTTTATCTGACATCAAATTCATCCCTTCAATCAGGCAGCCAGTGACATGCTTTGTTACATTTGGAAAGTGTTCGTAATTTTAACATGCAGCTGCTGGACTTGATTTTTTTCTTCTCTGTCAGGTGGAATAAAGTATTGTTTTCAGGATAAGATTGCTATTAACTCTGAAACAGATTTCAAAGTCACAGAAAGATGATAGTTTGTATTGGAAATTCCTGAAGACTCCAGTTTCCCCTCATATTGATGTGAAAACGTGATTATTTACTTGGAGCACTTTGCTTCAACTAGGAAGCTTGTTCAGTGTGTAAGACCTACTAATCTTAAACAAAATGCTTTTCCTAGTCCCTTGCAGGCTGCTTTTCAAGCCTGCTTCTACGTGATGGCAGAAAACTCCATATTTTCTTTCTTCATTGCTTTCCATATTGGTCGGAAAAGGGTTTCAAAGTTTGCAGTGCCCAGCAGTTGATTCAAAGTGCATGATACAGGATGTGTTTATTGCTGCTATTTGAAAAGACCGCTCATAGAACCCTTTAAATGAAGCTGAGACTGAGATGAGGGTTTCTGCTGAACACACCAGAAAGTGGAAGTTCTGGAGTTGGAGACAGTGAAACTGCTGTATGTCCCAAAGAGTGTAGTACCAGTTCTGGCAATTGGCATCCACTGCCAGGCAAAAATGAGACACTGACACTTTGTCAATGGCCTTGTTCAATTTCTGGCTTGAAGCGAGGCATAGCAGTTCTACTCATGGCTTTGGAGGCTTGTTGTGCAAATCTCTGTGATAAAATGGTGGTTGCCAAGCTTTTATCTGGGTGGTACAAATGAACCCTCCAAATGAGTGTGCATGTTGGCTGTAATACCTGCTTGTGATTGAGGGTCCGTGCAGATGGGTTGGTTACTTCTCTTGTACGTGCATTTTTGGTGGTCAGTTAGAGACTGGAGAAGGAAATGTTGCACACAATAATAGATGTACAAAATGACTGTATTTTTAGGCAATCCTATGTTTCTGTTGTTTGATCCTATTCTCTTTTCTTGCAGAAAGAATGTGCAATAATAATATGCCAATGTGTTTACTGTAATTAGCAGTGTAAGTTTGGGGCATCTTGAGAAGCATGTCAACTGCAAACCTTGTCTTATCTGGTATTTAACTTGCACTTTCATTTGCTCAGCATGTCATGTAGGTCTTGCTGACTTCGGCAATGCTACAGGAGAAAAATTAAGAACTGTCTTCAAGTCATCAATTCCCTGTAGTTGTTAAAAGTTGGAGGTGTTTTAAGAGCAAGCAGTCATTGTTTCTGTGTTTGGAAGGGCTGCTACTTGGAAAACCTTCTTCATAGCTGTGCTTTCTTTAATCTTTTTGTATTATCTCTAGAGGTTGATCAAGTTACAGGAGTTAAAGTCTTGTGTCTGGATTCTGTTCAGGTTAACAGCACTTCTTACAAGAGTTTGGTGCAGTGTGTTTGTGTTTGGCATCTTGTTCGTTTCTACGGCTTACTGAGATTGAGAATGGAGAGACAGTCTTCCTCAAGCATACATCAGGAATTTCCAAACGATGTAGTCAAAAAGTTCTCGGGATGAGTATTTTGATTAAAGCACTCAGTTACGTGCCGGGTAACCTCTTTGGATTTCTTCTGTAGATGAGGAGACAAGAAGCTTTCAGTGTGAAGAGCAATCTCATCATCTTAATCGTGGGCATAATTCGTATTTTCTTTTGGTGGTGCCTGGCTGAGCTGATGATTCATCTCATGTATATCCATGCTCTCTACAGTAGTGCTCTGCCTTTGGAGTCTGCATCCTACTGGGCCTTGGGTGAGTATAGAAACAATAGGAGAAATCTTTCTTCTCTCCCACTTTAAGATCCCCAGTCTACTTCTCTTTTATGTCCATCTGTAGATGCTTGAGTAGCATATTATAGCCAGCCACTGTCAGAAAGGTGGTCTACAGGCTCTTAATATAACATGTAGATGCTCTATAAGCTTAGTTGAATGTATTGAGCTGCTTCCTAAATTAAAAATATTCTGTACCTTTTTTAGTCTAAAGTATGTCTATAAACTGGTCTAAAGTTTCTCCTCCTCAAGACATAGAAGTGGACACTTAAAAGGTTTTTTTAGTGTGGGGATGGAGGAGGGGAGATGTTAAGAATTATTATTGATCTCCTTCTGATTGATGTTTCTAGTCTGTATTCATGTTGAAAAGGAAAATGACAGAACCTGTGAAACTAGTAGAGAGAAGGACTTGCAAATACGATGACCTGAAAGTAGCAGTCAGTACCTCTCAGTTACTGCTTGGCTTCCCCCACCTCTGCCCTTGCCAAACTCCCTGGTATTTCAGTAAAATGCCCAACTGTGAGGAAACAGTGCTGATAAATGCAGCATAATCCAGCAAGAGCTTTGGGTGATGGTTTGTAAACAGCTGTCATATGTGGTCGACTTGATTTCTGTTCCCTTCCCTTCCCAGCTATGTGTATCACCAGGCAGGAGGAACAAAAGAAAGAAACCCCAGACCCTAAAAGCAGGTTCTGAAAAAGTCTTGGTGATTTCTGAATTGATGGAGGTGTCTCTTACACCAGGGAGAAATATACATGCTGGTATGGTCCTGTGCAGCATTTGTTGAAGATTACCTATGAAGAGCAGTGTGTGTTGGAGGATACCTGTGCATTGGACGCTGGTCAGCAGAGGGCAATGTGTGCACTCTGTTTATCTGTAGGTGCATAAATAAACACTTAATATATATTTCAGTATGATTTTTATATCTAAAAAAGGGCAAGGGCAGATGGAGAGCAAGAAAGTGAGAGGTTTGCCTCTGTGGTTCACTGTTCATTCTACTCCTCACTCATTCTCTGTTTAGAAAGTGGATTCTGAGTTTTTCTGTTATAAATGTCAATTCATTGATGAATTAAATCTGTTTGCTCCTGGTGTTTGTGTATGTGACAAAAAGGTGGCCACTTGGTAAGGCAGGCAAAGCTACTGAGTTAGGGATGAAATATTCCAGCTATGATGCTACTGGTGGATTTCTCCCTCCTTTCAAGACGGCCAATGTTGATTTTAAAGAGGAGCCGAGGGTGAATTACTTCTCAGACAACACTGTGGGCTGTATATTTATTTGATGAAAAAAAGTGTGTAATCCTGAGAATTAAAATGCATGTAGATTATTAGACGATTAGAAAAGGTGAAAATACCTCAAAGCAACAGATGGTGAAAGCCAGTGTTAAAGCAAGTTAGGACTGTAAAGCTGTCTTCAAGTCAAATGATTGTATTTTAATGAGTCGCCTGTGGAGACTCTGCTTTTAGGAGAGTGTATTCAAAATGTAACCCTACTTACTGAGCTTCATCTTTTTAATGAAAGCAGCTGTTTAAAATATACCACAGATGAGATTTTGAAGCAGAAGTTGGTCACTAAAAGTTTTTTGTGCAGGTTTATCACTGTGGTGGGTTGACCTCAGCTGGATGCCAGGTGCCCACCCAGCTGCTCTATCACTCCCTTTCCCAGCCATAAAGGGGAGAGAGAGTAAGATGGAAAACAACTTGTGGATTGGAATAAGACAGTTTATTAAAGCAAAAGCTTGTGCACCCAAAAGTGAAGTGAAAAATAACAAGGTTTGTTCCCTACTTCCCAATCAGCAGCGATGTCCGGCCACCTTCCCAAGATGCAAGGCTTCAGCACGTGCAATGGTTTCTTAGCAGGCAGCCATTGGAAACAATGAATGCCCCACCCCCCCCTCCAGTTCTCTTCCCTAGCCTCTATATCTGAGCTGATGTCATAGGGTATGGAATATCCCCTTGGCTAGCCCGGGTCAGCCAGCCTACCTGTGTCCTCTCCCAGAAGGAATACCACAGCACTGATGCTGCGCTCAGGAGTAGCCAAAACACTGATGTGCCATCAACACCCCTCCAGCCACTAGTGCAAAGCACAGCACTGTGAGGGCTGCCATGGGGGAAATGAACTCCGTCCCAGCCAGACCCAACACAATAACAATGATTGTAGAGGTCTCCTTAGACTCAAACCAGTAATAGTCACAACAGTGGCCTTGCTTTAGGGAGCCACCAATATATGAGTAATAAAGGTACTAGTAATATTTTGTTAAGTCTTTACCGCACCCTTATGCATCTTACCATGCTTCTACACTGGTTCTTGCACAGAGCTGAACACCTCTGTTATTTTGCATTCTGTTTTATTAAAAACCAGTTATATTAGATAACTGAGTCTTGAGACCAAGGAAGCAGCTTGCTGTTGACTCAGGAGGATTAACCACATGGTATATAAGCCTTTTTGCACTGATGAGTTTTGTTCATTTTGTAGTTTATGTATAACTACAGCAGCTTCAAAGCAGCATGGAGCATCTACCCTTACCTTGATGCCTGGTTGCTATGATAGTCTGGTAAGCTTAGGGGAAAGACTGTGAGGCTGTTCTGCAATCACCTGTAAGCAGGGAGGTTGTATCTGCTCCTCCATTTTTCTTCCAGGATAACTTTGAACAATGGGCAATAAATGCCAGTAGTGCAGTGTTGTGAGATTTTGCTGTCAGCATCCAAGGGCAATGTCAGGCTACACTTCATGTGTGTGAAGCTGCAGTTGTGTTCTACATCACTGTGTGGTGTTCCTGTGAGGTGAGACGGGAAAGAAATAAAAAAAACCCATAAACCCTAAACTAAACCCGGACTGACTTCCAGTGCTTGTTTAAAAATGCTAGTGTACAACGTTGTCATTTATGGCCATGTAAAACAGAAATGCTAAAGTCACCTAAAGTAACATTGCTGAGGGCACATAGGAAGAAAATTAAGAAAAAAATAGTATCTGGGAGAATGTTAATTACCCAGCAGTAAGAGAAGTATTTTTTCTTGTGTGAATGGAATTATAGGCACATGAGCTTATACAAGCAGCAATATACCAAAGTGGTATGGTTTTGATGCCTGTGTATTTAACTGTAACAAAGTTGCAAGCTGTCTTCAATATTGCTGTTCATGTGCATTAGCTACTGTTAGTATATTCTGTGAGTTGTATGTTTTTTGGTTTTTAGTTTTTTCTTTAACTTAAAATTTTTAGACTTGTGTGTTTTGGCAACTAAACCAAGGGTCTTCATAGGTCGAATGTTGTGAGGTTCTTTTCTCTATGCCCTTTACGGACCAGTATGTGCATTACTGTACCACCACTCTTGACCTATAGGTTATATTACCTCATTCCTTGCATTTCACTTGCAAATGCCTTGTTCTGTGTGTTCTCCTACTTCTCTGAATTTGAGCAGGGCAAAGTCAGGGCAGAGCAGAGCTTCTCCCTCTCTACAGGAAATTACCTTCTGTCCCAAATAACCCAGCTGGGTTTTTTGTTTGGTGTTCCTTGGGAGGCATATTACTGTAGTGTCTTAAAGGCACAGAGGGCATTGTAGCCTTGCTTCACTCTTTGCTTGTTGAATGAGTATCCTTCAGTCTCTTCACTGGCTATGTAATCTGGATAGATGAAGTCTATCTCTTGAGTAAATAATGATGTGTGTTGTGGTTTAGGAACAGTATTCTCCACTTCAGTACTCCCATTAAAACAGTGTACTGCTTCCCCTCCCCCCCTCCAATTGGAAGTCCAAGAGGCAAAGATCACAGGTTAAGATAAGAACAATTTACTGGAAATGGCAATAGAATAAGAAAATGAACAGTCACAATATTAATAACAAAAGTGTGCAAAAGAGAGAGTGCGGAGCTCAAGCCACATCCATGCCACTCCAACTACTTCATCTGGCTGGGGACCAGCGTTACTCCACTGCTCTGTCCACCACACTTGCTCAACCTGAAAGAGCCCCTTCTCCTCGGAAGTGAGAGTCCCTTTCGCCACCCCTGACAATGACCTCAGGTGGTATAGAATGACTTTGCCTTAGCCATGTCCCCTCCTGGCTACTGCAGAAATGAACCCTGTTCTGGCCCAAACCAGGACATGCAGCATGTGCTTTCCAGCAATGTTGGGGTACTGTGGATGGAAGCACTGCTGTCATTGAAGTATCTGTGAAATCTCTTTAATTGCTGCTTTATGCAGGTTATATTTGTAACTGGCATTATTGAAAGCAATTAACTGAGTGATAAGAGTGGTGGGAATTGCGAACAGAAGAGTGAGGACAGTGTATGTTTAGGTTGTCTAAAGGTAGAACCTTCATTTCTCTGCCGGTGACCCCTGTTTTCCTGGATTACTACTATCCCTATGTTAACTTGTACCTGGCAGCTGCTAGTAAAGACAGCTTCTGTGCCTGCCCTGTGGATCAGCATGCTATGGATGTACATAATCACCAACCTGCCCTGAGAGAGTGGAGGTTGCATCCCTCTGTGCATCAATCCTTTAATGAGTAGAAAGTGTCTTGTTGCACTATATCTCTTGGATTTTGGGGGGTTTAAATGAAAAATAGTTTGAGTCCCAACTGGAGGGTCCTCTGAAAAACAGCAGTTTTCCTAAAGCTATTCTTTATGTTACGTAGAGGAACTTCTCTACTAAGAGAGAAAATGGACATTCATTATTTAAGCTCTTCAGCTAGAGAGTATGAAGTCTATTGTTAATTTTTTTTCCATGCTGAAGACATTTTGCTGGCTTTCTGACCTTGATATGAGAAAAAGCTTGTTGCATCCACATCTTACATGGACTAAATACAATAAGAAAATACTACAGATCTGTTTTCAGGGTATACCCTCCTCTACTCAATACCAAAATCCCCATATGCCACATAGATGTCAGAATTTCTTCTACCACATATTCTTCCTCATGTTTGAATTGTTTCCTTTAGCATTCTGCACATACTTCTTTAAACTTGCATGTTTATATTGTGGGAAGCTGTGGTC